CAATTCATGAACGGGATTTTACTATTCTTAAACCAAAAAAAATTACAGATTTCTTCAAATAATTTGTATTTATTTATTCAATTTAATAAAATTTATTACTTTTTTTTTATCTATAATTATTATTATCTTGTTAACAATGTTTCTGGGATATGGCAAAAATAAGATTGCTAGTTAGATTTTTGCGAGTTTACTCGCAAAAATATTACAAAATCGAGGCGTTTGCCATATCATAAAAAACTATAACTCACTGAAGAGAGGGAGAAGTGAGGGAGGGAGATTATAATTATAAGTGCACAACGCTATTTGATCTCAGCGGCAGGCTAGAGATCAAAGAAGCGTGCTGCTATTGATGTCAGTGGCAAACCAGATAGCCAATAAGCAGCAGTTCATTGTTTAATATTTGTAAGATCTTATAGCGTCTAATAAAGCATTGAACAAATTATTTTTATGTTTGTTTCGCCAGATGAATTCTAGTAAATATTTTTCAATCTTGTCTTGGTTTCGATCCTGTTCCCTGATGAATAATTTTAATATGGCCCAGGTTCCTTCTATGTGGTTGGTGTGAATGCTTCCTCTGTATTGTGGTGTTTGGGAATGGTTAACTCTCTTATGTGTTATGCCCAGTTCTTCTAGATTAAAATATCCTTTCTATAAATCAGTATGAATGATCGATCCGGGTATCATATGTTTCTTGATGATTCTTTTTAATGTTTGTTGATTTCTATTCTCTGCTACCACGAAAAAACATTTCTTCTTTTCGGTTCTTTCCATACCTCCAATCACCCAAAAATCCTTGTTCTTCTTGAACTTGCTCTCATCAATCTCCACGATAACATCCTTTCCTCCGATGGTCATATCATCTTCCTCCAACATGTTAATGATTATATCTCTAAATTTTTTGATGTACTTGACTATTGTATGATGTGATTGGTTGGTTATAAGATCGATTGATGTGTAGTTTATTCTGTTCAACCAGAGGTAACCTAATAATAAAATATCGCAAATTTCTATCTTGCTTTTCCCAAAAAACGAATTTTTGATAATTGATACTGTTTTATAACAGTCTTGATTCTTGTATCTGAATATTTTTTTGAATCTATCAAACTCTTCTTTATTACAATTTTGACATTTCGGTCTGTGAATAAGTTCCTTTTCAATAATGAATTTTATGCTTTCTTCTTTGTTAAACAGAATATCTTGCAACGATTTCATGCTATTCATTTTTATTAAAATTCGTATCTGGTTTTTGTTTTTTTTGTTCGACGAGAATGACAATTACAGCATTGAATTATAAATATCAACAATATCAAGAGGTAAAGTTTTTTGATTTCCATTTTGCTTATCAATTATTTTGGTCTCTTCTATTTATATAAAGATCTGGTTTCTTAATTTTCATTCAATGTCTATTCAAGAATATTACAAGATTTTAAGTGTGAAGCAATCATTGTCTATAGAAGAAATTAAGAAAGTGTACAGGAAGTTAGCCTTGAAGTATCACCCTGATAAGAACAAAACAAGCTATGCACAGGATAAATTTTGCAAGATCAAGGAAGCGTACGATTATCTCATAAAGGTTAAATCGAGGAAAAAATCTAGAAAACCAAAAGGTAAAAAACAGACAACTACTCAACAAACAACACAATGAAAAGCGATTATTAAGAAAAAAAGAATGAATATTTCTCAAGAAATTTGAACGATTGTTGAAGGAATTCTTAAAGACTTTTTTATAATGCCTAAGGTAAAGAAGGATAAAAATGAAACATTGATACGAAAAAAAGAGGAAGTGATTCGAAAAGCAAAGAGTCAAAAGGCTATGATGAAGGGTTTATTCACACTTGATCCTCTCTGGGTGATTTATTTTTACGATAATATTGAGAAGTCTGCAAGGTTAAAATTTAACAAAGATACAACAAATGCAAAACTCAAAAAAATAAAGGATAAATCAGAGTCTGAGTTAGATTCTAATAGGGATTCTGAGACAGAATCCGAAGAGGAATTTGAAGAAATTGAGGAAGAAAAGCCTGAACCTGAAGTGAAAAAGTTGAGCGTTTATAATCTTTACGTTCAGAGAGAATACAATAAATTGGCGGAACAAGGGTATAAAAATGATGAAATATTGAAAAAAATAGCCGAACAATGGAAGAATAGTTTTGAAAATCCCAAAAATGTATAAATAGAAACGATGTTTGGTTGTTTTATTTTAAATAGAAAATTTTGATGATTGTGAAAATAATATAGAGCAAAGCTTAAATTAGACGTGGTTATAAGTGCCTTGTTAATCATTTTCTTACATTGTTAATAATAATCTTATCGATTTTCTTGTTCAATATAGTAAAATCTGATTTTTCGTATCTAAATATTTTATTAAAAACTGGATTTCTACAAATCGTATCAACAATTAGGTTGATAGTTTCTGAAGGTTTAAGAACAATAAACTCATACTTAATCAGTTAAACTGGCACCGATTCCAAAGAAGAGAAATCTGAAAAAGACAAAGAAAAAATCAACTTCAAAATGTTTGGTGAAATATAAACCGCAATCTGTTAAAAGAAAGACAACAATTAAAGCAGACAGACCTTATTGTTCAGGTTGTGTAAGAAACGATAGATGGCTCCTATTAGAAAAAAAAAGTTAAAGCGATCAAATGTGCTGATGGTTCTTGTTCGATGAAGACAATGAGGAAATCGGTTTCTTTGTATCGTGTTGGTTATTGTGAAAACGTGGATAAGTATAATGCTTGTCGAAAGAAGAGGACTATTAGAACAGAGGTTGATCGCAGAACCTTTGGAGTTGTTAAGGATAAAGAGAAGGGAAGGTGCTATTATTTTGATACTTTATTTTCGAATGTGCTTACTTTTCCCCTTTTTTAAGGACCAAAAGCTGTTGATCATTTGATAATGTCAGATATTTCGATAGATCTTCAGATTACTGTGAGCAGTACTGGTGAAAAAATTGATTTACCAACAAAGAATAGTAAAACTACTATTGTAGATTTGATGGAACCTATGATAATAAGATTTTTTATTGTACAAATTTTGATGAGAAGATGGCAAAAAAAAAAAGTTATTCGTTAGAGGAACTGTTTGTTGATATAAATGAATTGAGAGATAGACTTCAGTTTCGAGATTATTTTAAACCAATAGCAGAAGAAAAATTAGAATTTACGTGTGATACTAGATGTGATTTTCAAACTAAAGGTTTGGTTTTATATGCTGATTTAAACTATAAAACTTGTGTTTTATCAAGAAATGATGGAGAAAATATAGTGTACGCTAAAAGAAATTTTATGTTAGCAATAGTTGTAGATTATGCCGATTGGTTGTATAAGATGAGATTATGCAGTCTTGAAGGGCCAAAGAGATCGTTGTTTGGTAATCAATCTGATATTTCAATAGGTCACAGTGGAATATCTGCATTTATTAGTGATGGATCTATCGAGGCTGTGTGGCGATTGGATCCTTCTAGTATAGGAGGGTTACAGGGATTGTTTGCTATGATGAAGAAATGTTGTGGCAAAGATGGAATGCAAGTTGATACCTAATTTTTGTATAAATATCTCTTCCATTTTGAATTTAATAAAATATTTAATTTTTAACCAATGTCTGTATGTTCGTATTGTAAAGTTGATAATGGAAAGTTTCATGATTGTGACTATGATAATAAACGACAAAAGTTACACATAAACCATCCAAAGAGGATGAGTATTATGAGCAATTTTTAACAGGTTTATTTTCAATAGCACATCAGATAGGTTTATCAGTTTTGCCACCGATTAATCCACCGGTTACAAATGGTGATGAAACCTTCGACAATCTTAAAAATATGATTCAAAATAAATACAATATCACGAATTTGATAGATAGTGGACCGATCGATGAGGCGATTAAAACATCAAATTTACTATTTGAAAAGCAAAATGTTTTGCAAGCTTTGAGACGAGATCAGTACGCAATGTTGTCACGATTTAACAGTCTAGCAAAGGGTATTAACGAGGAAACATCGGTTCAGAGGTTGCAAGATATGAATTATTAGGATATTGAAATTATATTTGATCTGTTGTTAAACGATAAATTGAAAGCTGAGTTACAACTCATAAGGAAGAGACAATTACAGTATCGAATAGATTATGAAAATTATTACACTGCGATATCTGTAGAGACTGATCTCGATAAATTAAAAAATTACTAGAAAAATACGATAGCAGATTCGATATTTACATTGGAGGATAAGGGAGAATTGAACGAATTACATGAAGCAAAGATAAAAGAACTTGAAAATACGAGCAGCAATTTGGATGTTTTTACATCGATGAGGGAAGGAATCAAACAGGAAACATCCATCACTAATTTGGAAGATAACGGATACTGGGATCGAATGATAAAGTTAAACACTGTTTTAATGTTATCTGAAAAAACAAGTTTGCAACAGTTTAGACTTGAGAAATTAAGATCTTTATCAGACCAGTACTATGATCAAATCAAGGATAAGCTTCCAAAAATCAAAACTCCACAACAATTACAAGATGGTTCAAGGATAGATAGGCGAATCAGGCAATTGGAGAATATTAATTTGACCGGTGGTAGAGATGTTAACGATCTATAGCAGTTGAGAGTTAGTTTGTTGGATGCTATGTTAAGTCAATTAGAAATTGGTAAATGGGACAATTATCAAAGGTTGGTGAATCAATATTGGAGGCAAAATGAAATTGTTGAGTTGGATAATACAAGTAAACTCGTGGATAATATAGCAGCATTAAACGCAACTTTATTGGGTGATCAGAGAAGCAAACAGAGATTGATCGATTTAAGAAAGAATAGATATTATAATATGTTGTATGTTTTATTGAGCGATTTGATCAAGGAAGAGAATGATTCGGAGGAACTTGTTGATGGGGGTAAATATGATAATGAGATAGATGGGATCAAACAACAATATCTGGATCCTCCAAGAACCAAGGATCAATTACAGAAGGAGTGTCGCAAGCAGTTGAATAATTTGAGAGCACCAGTTAGAGATGACAAAGATGAGAGTAAATTAGATGAGAAAAAGCATAAAAATGATAAATTGGATGATAAATTAGATAAATCTGATGATCGGAACGATGATAAATCTAATGGAAAGAATAATGAAACGAATAACAGTAATATTAAAAAGTTGCTTCTTGGATACTTTAGGGAATTTCCCAATGGTAAATTTAACGGATCGTTGGACGATAATAATTTGATAGATCGGATGATAAATGCATCAACCGAATTAACCGACCAGCAAAAATTAGAGTATCAAAAGATGAGGGTTATTATCAATAATCTTTACAAAGATGAGGAGCTTGATCATTATTTTGTTGATCCGGATGATAACGAGTATGTTGCTGTTTTTCTTGATATGACAAAAGCAACATTCGAAGATGTTGAGCAATTGGTCGAGAAGATAATAAAAATGAAGAGCAAGATATATTCAAAATTACATAGCTTTTTTGGATCCAAGATAACTCTCAGGATTTTCAGGTTGGTTGAACGAAATGCCATGGATAACTTCAGAATATTGTTGAAAGCGGCTCGTGAGCTTGTTAAAGATGATAGAAAATTGCTTAAAAAAATCGATAAGAAGCTAGGTGGAAATCGTAAATCATTGAAAGTGGACAAGGAAAACTTCAAGAAAATGATAAAGCACTTTAAATCTCAAGTTGTTCTTTCAATAAATAATGGTGTATCAGGACCATTTAACACTGTGGATTTGGTGATCTCTTATTATAAGGAGGTTGTCGAAGCGAGCGATGAGGAGTTGAAACAGATAAAAAAATTAATTATTAGACAGTTTTCAAAACAACCTGAAGTTGGCTATTTCGGAGGATTTTTTACATTTTTTCCTGAGGGAGATTTTAAGTATAAAATGTCATTGGATCCTTTGAATAAGCATCAGTTCATGTATGTGATCTATCGAATTTTGGTAGAACGCGTTATCAATGAAAGATTAGAGTATAAGGTGAATAATATTTTTGACCAGTTAGATTTTTCTATATAAACATGGAATGAGTCATAGAAGAGTTAGAACAATTACGCACACAAAATAAATCTTTAGAGAAAAGAAACACGCAATTACAGGGATATAAGGACCGAGTCGAAGAGATATTAACTTGGAAACACGGATTTTTTTATCTGTTTTTACAAACGATTAGGCAGATTTTTATCATTGTATTATATCATATGATCGCCACATTTCTGGTTTTTTTTGCTGTGGAAGTCTTCTTTTATTACAGTAAATTCGATTGCAAGTACACTTGCTGGGATGGCAACTACAAATTTGATCCTAAGAATAACTGAATGTGTCGAAAGAATATTAGAGGAAAATGAGACTTTGAGCGAAATTAATGAACGATTGGAGGTTTATAAGGCTGAGAATATCTCATTATACTACTTTTGTCAGATTCTCAATTTTATCGAGGGTGATTTTTTTAGGATATTCATCATATATGTGTTATCATTTATGGTTGGGTTTTGGTATTTTTTTCATCTTGTTGAGTGTTTGGAATGCAAATTGTGGTTTTCATTTTGGTGGTATTATCGAGAAACTGGAAAATTTTATATTAAATAGCACGATATCAATTTAGATTTAATTTCGAGAAAGTATTATTTTTTTTTTAGAGTTTATCTGTATAATTATACACGTTACAACGAAACTCAATGGGATAAATATTTTAACTTGACAAATATTTATTAATAAATATATTTTATTTAATAAAAAAATACATTTTTAATAAAAAAATTTAAAAATTATAGTTTTTTTTTCCTAACTTCAACAGGTTTTACGTTTAACAGTTTTTCTACCCAAAAAACGATTGTCTCCATTTTTTTTTTCGATTGTGTCATTCTTATCGTATTTTACCTCAAAATAGTCCAAGATTAGGTTCGCAGAGGCGTTTATTTTTTTTAGGGTATCTTCGTAGTTTAGGTTCACATGTGTGAGCTTATCATTATCATCTTGAAGTTTCTTGTTTTCTTCAGACAATTTTTTGTTTTGATCGGTTAATGTCTTGTTATCAGTTAACAGTTCAGCAACTTGCGTTTTGAGTTTATCATTCTCTTCTTTGAGCGGTTTCAGTTTTTCATTTTCATTTTTCAGGTTATTTATTTGGCTGGTCAGGTTTGTTATTTGTTCTGTTAACGGTTTTTTTCCTTTTTTTAGCTCTTTGTTCTCTTTTTTTAGCGCTTTTATCTGGTCTGTTAGCTTGTTAAATTCCCCTTGGAGACGGTCAGCGAGACCGCTACCGCTGGGTAGTTATAAGGCTCTTATATTAAAATTTTCTTTAGAGTTAGAGTTGGTTTCAGACATTTTTTATTTTTTTTTATATTTTTACGTATTTTATTTATTTTAACAAATAAAAAAAAAGTAAAATTTTTAAAATTATATCAATCTTCTTCACCACTTGTTGTAACATAAAAATTTTTACATTCTTGAGATAGATCGTTAATCATGTTTACAACACTTTTCGAACCAGCAATTCCAACATATAGTAATAACATCTATGTAATTTTATTACAAAACTTCTATCGGTTTTAGGTTTAAATTCTTGATTTCTATATTTATCAGTATTAGTTAATTCTGGTCTTTTATTTTCATAACAATTTATCCATATTTTCGTTAAAATTTGAGGTGAAACTTTTAAGGCTTTTAGAAGAAGAATCTAAGTAAGTTAAACAATACCATAATCTTTCTTGAACTGGGCCAACCAAGATAAGGTTTTCACAGGCTTTTACTAATTTTTTTAATTTTTCCATCAGGCTGTCTTTATTATTATACTTGACACCAAGCAACTTGAGACATTCGTCCACTTGATCGGTAATTCTATTAAGGATGGTGTCTAATTTTTCAGGGCCAGTTTTATTTTCAACTTCACTGATGTTCATGTTAAGATGAGCAGTGATTATTTCATTAATCTTGATTTCAACTTCATTTCTGTGTTTTTTACATTCTTCAAGCTGATTAATAACTTCTTTTCTATGTTTGTTATAATCATGAAGCTGACTTTCGAGTTCGCGAATTTTAGTATGGTCGGTATGATCAACAACGTGATGCTGATGAATTATGATAGGTCGTCCGCCTCCTCTTGGTCTTAAGCAGCCTCTTCCTCTTGCACGTCTTCCTCCACCTCCTTCTCTATTTCTACCACCACCACCAAAGAAAAAGTATCTAGTTGCAAAGGTGGTAACTTCTTCTTCATCCTTTAATTCTTCAAAATCATACTCGTTTTCATCGTAAATTACTTCAATTTCAAACATTTTTTTAATTTTGAAAGCGAAATTTATCTTTATTTAAGTAAAATTTAAATATACATAGTAATTTAAAATTTTAAATAAAAAATAAAATAAAATAAATAAAAAAAATAAAATTAAATAAAATTAAATAAAAAAATCAACCACTATTGTTTAACGTGTCTTTTAAAAGTTTTAAAGTGATTCTATCTTTTTTTAATTCGTTCACATCTTTAGCGATTTGATCCATTTTTGTATTCATTTCCTCTAATATTTTTTTAAAATCTTTTGATTCTTTTGCTTCATCTAGTATGAGTTTTAAAGTAAATTCATTTTTACCAGGAGGTAAAAGAGCGCAGCCATTTGAAAGAACTGAAAAAGGATTTTGAGCAATTGGAGGATTTCTTGATCTTCTTGGCGGTGGTCTGAAACATCTTACGCTAGGTTCTTCATATTCATCTTTAATTATTATTAAGATTAAAATTTTGTAAAAATTGTTTAATTGCTTCAATTTCTTCTTTCAATTCTTCCATATTTTCAAGATTTTTAAAATTAATATTGAATAAAATTTTTATTTATATTTGAAATATCTTTACATGTTTCAACTATCAGATACATTTTTTGATTTATGCTAATATTTTTATCATATTTAATGTCCAATAAATGTAAAGAAAGGTCAATGTCTCGTTCAAGTTTCACAATATCCATTTCTTTGAACAATGTTAGATGTATTAGATTGTAGAGATGCATGTACAAAGTGTAAAAATTATAGTAAATTTGATGTATCATTTCATTTAACAGTAAGTGAAACAAAAAGATTTTTAGATGCAATTCTAAAAAAAAGTTAATTAATTTCTGTAAAAGAGAGAAAAATTGAAAAAAAGAAAGATACAAACCAATTAAAAAGTTCAGCATTGTCTTTATTTTTTTTTAAAAAAAAAAAAAATAAAGTTTTTATTTATCCTTTTTGCGGTCTGCCTCTTTTTTTTGTGCTTGTTCTTCTTCTGGTTTTTTTCATTGTTCCACTTCTTGATTTGGGTTTTGTTGGTGGTGCAGGTCCTTTTGGTTTATGCACTGATTCGTAATACGCTCTGCCTCCCTTACCAAATTTCTGCACAAAGATGCCGCTATCGTATTGTTTTGTGATCTTCCCATTCTTGTTTAGTATGGGGTGTAACGTTTTTTATGGAAATTCCAGGTATAGAGAATTGGCAGGTTGTGATGCAATCTGTGTGGTTCTATCTCGATGATGATCTCGGCCGCATGCTGTATATCAAACAGGAGCACAAAGATAATTATAAGACTTAGAACGAATCTCATTTTGTTTATTATCTCTCAATGATTTAAATAGATCCGGATTTAGCAAGAGTTACAGGTTTAGGGTTTATATAAGCCAAATTGTCAATTATAATATCTGTAGTATTATCTCAACATGAATTTTCTTTGTCAGCAATGTGAGTCTTATAGGTTATTTTTGTTTTAATTAATCAATTTATTTTTAGAATAGCTGAAGAATCATCATTTGATTTGAACGCGTTGTATCGAGAACTGAGAAGGATTGACAAGGAGATCGATATTGAAAAGTTACTAAAGAGAATTATTAAGATTGAAAAGAGAGAAATTCAAGAACATTGTAAAAGAATTCAGAAACAATATGAGAAACTTTTATATTTTTATTATGTTTTATGTTTGATTATTTTCATTTTATTGTTTCCTTATCTCTTAAGTTTTATCTTTTTTTCTTTTTATGACTATGATTTTGAGTATAAATGTCATAGCCATATTGAGTTTAAGATAGTTTTTTGATTACATAATTTTCAAATTACTATATAATATTTTATTGATCACAATCAATCAGTCTTTTGCATTAAAAAAATTCAATCTAACAGAATGTTTGAGTAATGCAAACAAGATGCACAACATCTTTGAGGCTAAAGATATGCATGAGATCAAGCATCGGGTGAACAGCATGTTTACGGAGATGATTTTCTGTCTTTATATGTTGAAGGATCATTGTAATGTTGTTCAAAATAGTTTATTACATGTTTAAATTACAAACAAGAATTAATTATTATATAATATTGGTTATGTAATATTTATCTCATTTATTAAATTTAATTGCATAATTACATAATTATTTAATAAAGATATTTATACTTTGGGTTTTACTTTATTTGTAAATAATCTCTCTTTAACGTGCATAATGTAAGTTGATATTGGTTTATTTTTTTTTATTTTTTGTAAATTAATACGTATAACAATTTGATTTTAGAATGAAAATCTCTATTTGGATCATCGTTTTTTTCTTTGTACCTCTCTATTTTTGTCATGTTATGGAGTATGAATACACTGCACATAACAGGACTTATAATCTTACCAAATGTTTAGTTAAAGCAAACAAGACGCATAATCTCTATGAAAGTAAGGATCTAAATGATGTAAAGCATCGGGTTAACAGCATTTTAAAAAAGTAATAACATGTGTTGACAAGTTTAAAAATGATTTAAAGATTGAATGTAACGTGACATTTCCATGTTTTTTATTTTAAAATTTGTAAAATTTTATTAAAAATGATTTAAAGATTGAATATAATGTGACATTCCATATTTTTTATTTTAAAATTTGTAAAATTTTATTATATTTTAAAATAATAATTTAATTATTATTAAATTTGCTTAAGAAATTATTTAAAAAATTGCTAATTGACTCTCTAAAAAAGCCCAAGATCAAGGTTATGATGATGATGTACATCATGATAGAGTTATCGTAATCTTTTAGGATCGTTAGAAGCAAGACCATCACTATACAGAAGACAATAGTGTGCATCTTTTCATCTTTTCTTTCCTATAATTAAAAAAAAAATTAAACCAATTATTAAAAGTTTAAACACCATTATTTAAACCATTATTTAAACTATTATTTGAACCATTATTTGATGCATCTTTTTCCTATAATAAAAAAAAATTAAAACAATTATTAAAAAAGTAAAAATAAAAATAAAGTTAAACACTATTATTTGATCTTTTTTTTCCACCATATCTTTAAAGAAGGTTCTTTCTTGTTCACGTTCTTTTCTTTCTTCTTTTTTTTTTTTGTCTTTTCTTTTTTTCTTTTCTTTGTATTTTTCATAATCTTGGGTGAAGGAGGTTTGATCGCTTTGTTCCGAATCGCTTTTTTGTTCTTCTCTAAAACAAACAAATTAATATCTAAATGAATAAAATAAATGTAAATTGTATATGATTTATTACATTTTTGACAATTCGTTATGTTGTGTTTGAGAAACAAGACTCATGTTTCAAATTAATATATAATTAGATAGAATGAATTAGTCTAAATTGGGTTATGTTGTACTATTCCAGATTTATATAGATTATGTTGAGTCAGCATTTGAGGATATCAAACTATATTTTAATCAATACAAATTTGGAAATTTCATACTCCTGTATGATAAGGAGCATCATTTGATTGAAACAAAATCGATCAAATATTGGTTGCAACCCAAATTTTTATAGGTTCAAGACACGATCTGCTAGTTCCGTTTAGGAATTTCCATAGTCATGCATGTGTAATCAGGAGCAGAAGTATCGGTTTTACTTAGAAATCATAATATGATCTACAAGAAAGCGATCAATATTGGTTCAATTGTTGATTATATCTCAAATTTTTATAGGTTCAAGACACGATCCGCTAGTTTCGTTTAGGGATTTCCATAGTCATGCATGTGTTTTATGCTCCTGTTTCAGGTTATTCGGAGATGCATCCAGATTTTGGTTAATCGATTCTGTTATCTGATAAGCATGTGTAATAACGTGTTATTTCTGGTTTCACATGCACCCATATATGCTTATCCAATCCTTCCATTCAACCTAAATTTGGAGCGACAAACAATACCTATATGCGGTCTCATTCAATTTCTTTTGTTTTAGGTATAAGATTGCTGGGTTTCGCAATACGAACAATCCCAATTTTTTGCAAATTTTTTTCAAAAATTTTTCAAGCTTTCACAGATTTCCAAAACGATTTGCATGTTTCTTCTTTTATTGATTTACATTCTTCTGTTGATTAGCGCAACCATGTCTTATCTACACCATATTACTCATTCTGGTCGCCAATTTGCTCCAAATCAAGAAAAGCACTATCTTGAAACCCTTTCAGATACTACTGAGAGTAGTGCATCTTTTGGGACTGCTCCAGATAGACCTCCTATATATGAGGAGACTACTCGTTCAGATATTTAATAGCTCATAATTAATATTAGAAATCATCTTTCAAGATTTAAAATTCCATTAACATAATAACAAAATATCTGTTCCAAACAATACTTTTGATACTGAAACTCTTGTCTGTGAAGAGTTTCAACAGTCTCAAGAACATATTTCTCAAAATTTACGAGAAGAAATTACTCAAGAAATTTCTAAACTTCTTGAAAAAATTTCAAATTTAGATAAAACTATTGGTAAAATTTCTTAAATTAATTTGTTATAATCTTAATATATTAATTTTAACTTTGTTTAATTTATTATTAGTTTCATTAAAAAACAATGTTTTATATTATAAAATTTTATTTTTTATTATTTTTATTTTATTTTGTTTTACTTTTTGGTGGACATACGATACAATTCGAGAAAATTATCAACTTCATAGAGAAGCCACTGAAGTTGATGTAAAAACTCAACAATGGAATCAAAATGTTGAGCGTATACAAAAATTTGTATATGAATATTTAGAAGATCAAAAAATCTTTAAAAATAATTATTTTTAATTAATTTATTTTTTATTTAGTTTACTAGACAGTTTATTTTCTGATAGATTTTTATGTTCTGGTTGATCGAGAATGTATATTTTCTGTTCATTCTTGATCAACCAGAACGTAAAAAATCTTGTTGTATTTTTTTATTTTTTTGAATTGATGTTATTGATTTTGTGGGTTAGAATTTAGAAGTTTCGTTCTAAGTTGATCTTTAAACTTGTATTTTTGGAAAAACTTTTAAAAATTCTCATGTAAAGAAATCAATTATTTTTAATAAAGCAAAGTTAAAAATTTATTTAAATAAAATTTTTATCGAGACAGTTTAATTCACTTTGAATTTTTACAATTACAAAAAATATATTCTTTAAAATGCCTTCTTTCAAAAAAATCATCTCTAAATTTAACAAAAAAAGTTGTTACTCGATTTGTTCCCATTGAAGAATTCAACTATGAGGGTTGGTTAGATGTTGACCAAGAATCAGAACCAGGATGAGATGTGGAAGAACCGTCTGGTTCAACCTGCAATAAAGAAGCTTTTGAAACTTCCTTATTACAAGTTGAACAAGACAATCCTTCGGTGAAGATAGAAGAAACTCCGTTCAAGAATTACACTTTTGAGTGGATGTTGGTTGTCTTGTTGCTGTTGTCGTTGTTGTTTTCTGTGGCTTTAGTGTGGATCTTTGGACTCTTGTTTTTGTTCTGATGGAGATTCTTGTTGCTGCGGTTGAATCTTTCGGAGGGAGATGTGGTGAGGTTCGTTGACCCGTGCCTGGTACGTTACAGTCAGGCCTCAATAAGTAATGTGTTCCAGATAGGCAACGACCTTGATAACACTATTTAGGATTTGTTAGATGGCAAGATTAGAATAGAAGATTTCTCTCTCATCAATGTCTGTTTGATAGAGGATATCTTCTATTCGTCGGATAATCGAAGGCTTTATTGCTTCAAGGAGGCGATAAAGCAAGGGTTGGATGTTGACAAGATATCTGTTAGGATAAGATGGGTATCAGATGTTAACATCGGGTAGAAGATGGAGGGAGCATACAGATTGGTGAAAAACACCAATTTTAAGGAGGTTGTAGTGAGCCCTTCGTTAAGAAATGGGAGGGTGATTGATGGTGAGGGCTACTGGGAGTACTGTGTATAATCCTTTTGTAAATATTACCTGTAAAAACTTGTTATTTTATACCTAATTTTGTTTAATAAAAACGTGATCTGTATATAAATTTCTAGCACATTCTACGTTATCATTTAAAATAAATTTAGTATGAATCTAAATTTGTCATGTTCATAATTTAAATGGTGTTGTTCTATAAATATGGTTAATTCATATTATTTTTATTTTCTATATTATTTATATTAATTTTCAAGATGTCATTTTTAGATTTTTCTCAACGTATAACTTTAATTATGGATCAGTAAGTTTTTATTATTTATTTATTATTTTGTTTTGTTCTTAATTAATTTGTTTGTTTAATTAGACAAGTTGACGATTATCTTAACAACTGGTATGAAAGAACACGAAATAATGAAAATTGTCCACATTACGAAGAGATGATTAGAATTAACAATAATTATAATAAACAAAGAGAGCAAATGAATGTGAAGAACGAGAAAAGCAAAGACAATATGATAAAGAAGAAAGACAAAAAGAGCGTGAAGAACAAGAAAAACGAGAAGTAAGAGAACGTGAAAAACGAGAAAAGCAGAGACAATATGAGCAAGAGGAAAGGCAAAAGGATCGAGAAGAAAAACAAAAAAGAAAAAATAATATGTATTGCTTTATTATTTCTTGTATTGTATATATAATCAGAATACTTTAGGTTTTGTCGCATCTGGTGTAGTCACTATCATTCTTAAGTTTATAGAATTTATGAAACGATAAGAATTCAAATTTAGCAATTTATGTTTATCTTCTATAAATATTTAATTTATACTATTATAGAAAAAATTGATATGTATTATTCAAAGAAAAAAGTAAATATATTTTAAGAAAAAAACAAAAGTGCTGGCTTATTTTTTATCTTAATATTTTTATTATTTCAATGTTATTAGTATTGTTTTCAGATCTAATGTTCTGATTCTTGAAGCTTCTCGGTTTGGTCGATTTAATAAATTTCTATTTTTTAGATTTCAAGAGTCTTCTTTATTTTTCAAGTTCTTTATTCATATTATCAAATGCGTTATTTCATTTAGAAGATGATATCAGAATCGGTTAAGTAAGTTGCGATTTCAGAAGAGTTTACATCGTTAGAAGAAGAGTTCACATCGATATAAGAAGAGTTTACATCGATAGGAGAAGAGTTTACATTGATAGTAGAAGAAATGAGATTAAAAATTCAGATAAAAAAAGAGATGTTAATTAAGTAGAAGAAATAGATTAGAGTGAGAGAGAGATAATAGATTAATTTAATTACAGTTTTCATTTTTTACACTTACAAGCAAGCAAAAAATAAGTATTTCGCTTTTAAACATTTCATTTTCATTGTAGTAAATCATTCTTTAATAGGTGTTATTATCTCGAACATTCTGTTTATTTTTTCTTTACATTGTCTTTATTATTGGCTATTTTAATAATTTATATATTCAAGGATCTTTGACTTATTCGATTATTTCTTTATTTTTTTTTTTAAATTGGTAGTTTGGATTCTTAAACCTTATAAATTTTCTACTATTTACCGTTAGCACCATTATTAAATATGCATTAAGAGATCTTTTGCTTATTCGATTATTTCTTTATTTTTTTTTTTTTTAAAAAAAATCATATGAATTACGTTTTGTTCTTTTGTATTTGGTAGTTTGGATTCTTGAATCTTTCTACTATTCGTTTGCTGGTGCTATTAGCATCATTGTAAGTAAGTTGATGCATCTAAGGGATCCGGTGCTTCTTAGTTTGCACCATTTGTCTTTCTTGTTTTAATCTGTCTTTTCTTTGTATTTGTTAATTTCATACTTATTAAGCATGATTGACTGTACAAAATACTCACCTTTCACTCTTCTACATTTGGAACATGGAGAATATGGGTCATTCATTTTTCTGAACATAATAGTGATGATTAGTAATCGAATGTGATCGGCAGTATAAAAATATTTAAATGGATCTAAATTTGGTAAGCGGCGAAAATAAGTAATAAAATCAAGATGAATCCAATGGAGTTTTCTTCCATTTTGACAGTTTTTTTAACAGGTAAATATTTATTTTTGTTGGTTTTTTGATTATTATTTATGCTGACATATTTGAAGTATGTCTACTATCGCAGGTGTTGTGAGCTTTCTCGATCAAGAAAAATTTAGAAACACGCAAGAATTTCAAGATGTTTCGTTTTTGATCAAGGTCAAAAAAAGTGAGGATGAGGAAAAGACTGCGGAACTATATTTTCTTGATGGTGATCCAATTACAGAAATTCCAGTCCCTAATGATATTGAATGCGAAGAAATTAACGAATTGGATCAGAAAACCTTTCCGTAATTCAAATATTTTTTTAATTAATCATCCAAAAAAATATAATATTTTATTTAAAAAGAAGAGAATTTACGCTTTAATTCCTGAGCAAAAGCATTATACCATTCATAATTTTAACAAACCCGATAATCTCAAGCAATATGAATTAGAAAAGTGTGTAAACAAGGCATTAAATGTAATCATTAAACTTGAGGATAATTAGTTGAATATTTTTATTAAATTTTAATAAATTACATATTTTTTGGTACAATTTACATGATTATGCTATTTGTATAACATATCATTTTACTACAAATACTTGTGATTTACGCCTAATTTTACGTTTTCACCTTTTGCTTCTCAATATGACTAAGTAAATATTTATTTTGTTATATCTTTTAATATTATGCAACGACAAAACTAACCACCATAACAAGAACTTTTTCAGAAAAAGAAGCAAAGGAAAAGGCTGCTGTTCGAGCATCCGTTGATAAAATGTTGGCTGATATTAGGTTAACTTTACCTTCGCATAAAATTAAACCGTGTGAAAATGAAGCCGCTGACATATATAAACAAGCATTAAACTTTAGTCTTATAATAATGATTTTATTGTTTATATCAGATGTAATGTTGGGAATGACTATTCATATAAGCCTTTACGCTAAGGATAATTTATCAGAATTAAAAGAATTATATGAATCATATAAAGCAATTTCAGAAAAAAATAAGCATTTTTATTATAAATTTTAATAATTTTATTAAATAAAATTTTAATAAAAATTAAATATATTTTAATAAATAAACAAGAATTAAAAAACACAACAGTTTCATGAAAAAAATTCGTTGTCTTTCTTTTTGGCGATTTTCTCTTTTCTCTTTTTGATCTCGGAGTAAGTAAAAAATGATATCAACGATTTGTTCATTGTGATGATTGTTAAGTTTATTCATTTCTTTTTCATGTTTGCAATATGAACAATTTCTTTCAATTTCTTCATTTTTTTTATTTTCATACCATTCTTCAACATAGGTATTGATATGTTCCCTTATAAATCAAATAAAAAATTAAAAGATAATAAATAGGAAATAGAAATAACGAAATAATCCTACCAAGTCATGTTTGATAAGGTATCCATATTTTGTTCCTGATCAGCGTGATCATGTATTTATAACCAAATTTGGCTGATCCGATAATATGTGTAATTGACTGTGACATATTCGGTTGATTGACACCTACAAATACCTACAGATACGCCCAATTCATGTTTCTTACCCTTTTGTTCGTAGTTTCATCAGAGGGATGATGGAGAATACCCACATCTTAATATCCGAATAGGAGAATCGTAGTCTCTTGCAAAGAGATGAACATGATCTGTGGCAGTGAAATGACGCATAAGATAACCATCTCTTTGGTGAAGTCTATTCATATTTCTCTGGTTGACATGGGTGAAAGGGTCAACTTTCCTTTAAAAATTCCAACAAGAACGTAGTTGTGTATCCCAGTATATTTCTTGCTAAAACGATAATAAGAGTTGCTAGTATTGCTCTTTGAGTTGGTCGTTTCGGGTAAAGTTTTTCTGTAACTCTTGCGTGTGGTCATGTTTTCTCGTACGTTTTGCGTGAGAGACAGAGATCCAGTTCAGGAGCTCTACCTAGAATTTACTTGAGTTTTGTTGAGAACCTGGTCTCGCAAAACGATATTAACGAGGCGATTTTCTTTGCAATTTCGATAGCTAGCCTCATTAAGCTGGCTCTTTTTTCTTGCGAACGATGAGTGAAGTAATAGATAAGAGACATAACATTTATGGTCTGGTGGCTATCTTGTCTCTCACTCTAAAAGGATTGAAGCTCTCGTTCTTTTTTTTTTTTGAGTTAAAAGATATGTAACCTCCACGTTGGTTTGACTCGAGCAACGTGTTTTTATTATTATTAAAAATACGGCTAATTACATATCAAAATTTTAATAAATACAGGAGTATAACCATTATGATTACCAGTTTTTTTATCGTGTTCTAGTTTAAAATTAATACATTTTGTTTGATTCTAAACCATTTTTTTTGTTGTTTATTTTCATACAAGAAAATCTCCATCTTTATGTCTTTTGTAAATTCCAGAAATTTGCATATGTTGTTTCTCTAAGATTACAATCTCGATTATCAAATCCTATTATGTTGGTTCAACTTGGGTAATGTGTTTTTTATTTAAAAATCTAGTCGAATTCAATAAAATTAAACTAAATATCCGTTACGATTACCAGTTTTTTTATCGTGTTCTAACTTAAAGTCTATTGCTTCTTGTTTAATTTTAAACCATTTATTTTTTTGTTTGCTATTCTCACACCAACAAAATACCCATCTTTTATTAGTTTTCTCATAACTGATTCCATTATAACCTGATGTATTTGTTTTAAACAATTTACAATTTAGTTGATTAACACCTGTTCTATCTCTTAAATTACATTCACGATTATCAAGTCCATTTCTATTAATATGATCAACTATTTTAAAATCTGTGATTAATTGATGAAGTTGTAAAGTTGTCCATTTATTATTTTTATAAATATTTGTTTTTATATAATATGTATTTCCATCTTTTTGTGTACGCCAAGTATGATTTTTTAAATGTTCAAAATATTTATAATCGGTGAGAAACGTGATATTCAGCCTCTGGGTTTTCACCTCGAGGTACAGCTTATTGTCAATCTTCACTATACGATACTTATTCAGTTTCAACTTTGGTTTATTTGGATTTGTGATCTTGTTCCAGAACAGAGCTGCTTCAAATAATGGGAATTTTGATTTCCAGTACATTGTTGATCAGAAATTACCAAATGTAGAATCTATATTTGGTAATTTTAGTTTATAAATAATATTTGTAAATTTTCCAGTTGTATTTAAAAATGAAACAAAAGAGGATAGAATTTGAGAATGATAATAAGATACACCCTATTTATTTTGTTTTTAACCACATTTCTAATCCGTACATCTTCCAAAGATGCTCGTTGGTCTGTAAATCTTGGAAAAAAGCCCTTGACGAGCATCCTTTCTGGCGAAAGGTTGTCGAGGATTGCGGCTTTGAATCTCCAAAACCGAATTCAAGAAAGTACAAAACCTACAAGTCGATATTCATAAAAAACTATGAAAAAATTTGTCCTTGCTATAAGGGTTTGTTGAAAAAGCATAACTTTGTCTCTGTTGTGAACTTCAAGTTACACATTTTACGAGAGTATTGTTTCTACAAATTGTGCTACAAAGTCTATAAAAATAATTATATTTATCGTAATCTTGTGAATTTTGTTCTAGAAAAAATTTTAAATTTAATCAAAAAGAGTGACATGTCAACCCATTGTATCTATCTGTTGGGTTACATTAGTAATTTAATTGATCAATTTTATAAAAAATGTGGTAGAATGAAAATCTGTGATTTCGTTAAGGTTGATTTTATCAAGGATATTAGGCGTAATTTATATAATATTATTGAGGATAGAACGTTGTATATCGAAAAGTTTGGTGGGTTTGTTAAGAATTGGAATTATAAAGTAGATAATAGAGCTGAATATAAATATTTGTAATATGCTACATAAACATGCATTATAATAATAAATATAAATAATTTTTTATAAAAATATGAGTATTTCTGCTTAATTAAATAAAATAATAAAAAAATGAATTAGTAATTGTTTTTTTATTTTTTAATTTTTGTTTTTTTTTTATTTTTTTGTTAAAATATTTTTATTTTTAGCGAGGAAGGTTGGGGTTCGCCTCCGATCAAGATTATACAGGATTATTTCTTTGATCCATTCGAAGGTTCTCCTGTTTTTTGTGAACTTTGTAGTAAAAAAAATCATTTTTATAAGGACTGTCGCTTTAAAAAACATTGTCAGACATGTGGTTCTGATAAACATTTTTTTAGAAACTGTAAATATAATAAGTGTACATTTTGTAACTTTGTACACTTAGATCTCTGTAAAGAGTTCATTTATTGTAATATATGTAAAAAGAATAATCACACTTCTAAGAGTTGTTTTTTTCGTAAATAAAAAAATAAAATTTAATTAAACAAAGAATCAAAATTATTTGTTTCAAAAATCAAAGTATTTTTGTAAAAAATTTTACAATTTTAACATTAGGATTTAAAAATATAAACCCATCATCAATCTTAAATGTTTCTACATTGTTAAAACTAATAAAATTATAAGAAAAGTTGTCAAGAATTTCATCATTAATATGTAGATAAGTGTCGTTAAGAAAGAATGATAATGTATAGCCTCCAATTATTTTAAAAAATTTAAAGTTAAAATATCTTTCATTAACAAAATAATGAAAACAAAAACTTTGATTTTTTCCAATTTTATATAATAAATCTAAACCTTTCTTTGTCCTTCTTGTTGACAAGAAATGGATTGGTTATTCTCAATTTTGTACAGATTAGATGAAGACGTTTGTAAGAGTTTTCATGTTATGAGAATTTTTGTGAAATATTGCCTCTGTGGAAATATTGCCTCTGTGGAAATATTTCCTCTGTAAAAATATTGCCTCTGTGGAAATATTGCCTCTGTGGAAATATTGTCTCTCAGTGTATTTATAATTTTCAATTTTCCTGAGTTAGTTTAAAAAAATTTTGGCAAAGACCAGGCTGCCAAGCTGATGGTTTACAGAAGGCGGCGCTAAAAGAATACGCTACGACTAACGCAGTCAGGAGTAAGTATTTCTTTTAGTGTCGACTGGTGTATTTTTTCTCGTAGCTCTGATAGTGTTACGAGAAAAAGTCGCTTCTTTAATTTTCAAAGGATTGCTTTAGCCAATTATATTATTGTATTAAATAAGTCAATCATTTGACTTAAAGAACATAGAGAAGAATTGAACAACTTTAGCTTAAGATCCTTTTAAAACTACTTGGTGTTTAGTTCTATAATTTTTGTTAAAGAATCATTAAATGCTAAAGAATATAAGTCCCATATTTAAAATTATTTTTTATATTTACTTTTTTGAGTAAATTAAAAAAGTGTTTTTTTTGTCAAATTTTATATATAAATTTAGGTGAGTCAACTCATTTGATTTATATATAACAACAACCAAGGGGACATGTCTCACATCTGTATATATCTCTAGCTTTTGGACCAATCAAATAATGCAAATATCTAATCAACTTTTTCTGATGATCATCTGTATCAAAAAATCCAAACATATTTTTTGTAAAAAACACAATAGCATTTAGTAAAACATGGAGAGCAGACTAGAAGCTATAAGTTGGCAGTTGTTATTTAGAGGTAGTTCTTATATGCTATCTGCTAACTTCTTTAGAATTTATCACTCACCACATACACAGCACTTGTCATTTAGAAGTAGTTCTCATACACTATTTGCTAACAAGCTTATAGGAGGACATTTGTCTGATTGGTTAATTTTTGTAGATCTACCTTAATAATTAGCCAATCAAATTATCATTTGATCAATTGTGTAATTTATATGTAATTTATATAGTTTAAAGTACTTTATTCAATTTTTTAGTCTTTTTAGCTTCTAAGTCTTCTAAGTATTAATCCTTTTCTATTTAAAATAATAAAAGCATAACCAAGCGCTTACTAAAAGAAAAAATATACTACGACTTACTGGACCGTGTGTTATTACTATTTGCCGAAAAGTATTAACTCAATAGAGAAGGGTTTCTGAAAGTTTTCTTTCTAAAGCCCGATCCAACCATACTTTACCAAGCTATCTTCAATTAGGCAACACAGTTTGCTCAAACTGTTATAATGGCATTGCCATTAACAGTTCAATTGAATTTAGACAGCATTCTGAAGAAATCAGGTCTGTTGAAGCTGAAATTGAAGTCAAAAATACTAACTTCATTTTGTCTTTTTTTCAAGCAATAAAGTCATTAACGAATATTTTATATAAGCGAGAGGTTAAAGAAAAAAAACCAACAATATATTTATTTGACGAATTTAAGACAACCATGGAACAAAAAGATGAGAGGTTAAAGTTGTTTTTTAAAGCATTATATTTATCTTCTAACCCATTTAATAAAAGCAAAGAATCACAGATATGAATAAAAAAGCAGCTTTTATTTGTTTGTTATTTTCTTTGTAGAATTCGCAACAAGTTTGTGAATAATATGAAGAATGATGTGGCAATGTATTTGGATTCTGTTGGTGCATCTAATTCTTCAATAGATACCCTTGCTGATTTAGGTGTAGCTACAACGTCTCATACAGTTACTCGGCATAAGACAGCTATATCCGAAGAACATGCTAGCACTGTCGATTCTGCACTTGCACAACATATAGAAAATGCAATGGTTTTAAATATTGACGACTATTACAGCATCCATACAAAGAGGGCACCAAATACGACTACTACATCGGATGCAGCACATCTGGCAACAATTTTAATGAACCCGATTACAACACAACAGGCCATTTTGAATATAAATATTTACAACCCTCTCTTAGTCGATGCAGAATTAATTAAGATAAATATAGAGACTAAGTTTATAAAATTCTTTCGTTTTTCACATAATTAACGTTGGGGTTTTGGGTAATGGATAATGATATGATATTAGAAGAACTAACTATATATGATTATGATACTAGGTTAAAAGAAAAACGAAGCACTTGTTCCATGAAAGACACCATTCTTGTAGATTTACAAGAAAATGACCTTCACACTACAGATGCATATATCAAAGCTATTAGTGCCGTCACAAGTGTTCCATCTATGCAACGATATATCGAGAGAGGAAATGTTATATCTGTTGTTGCTGATTGGCCTGAACAAATTCATCTTTGGACAGCAATTTCATGTTATTTGTATTATTGTGAATCATTGAATATTACTAACCAAATATTATCTTTTCTTCCTATTATAGGTCCTCTTCACATTTCACTAAATAGTCGGGAATTGGTATTTCTCCAGTACCAGCCTTTTTTTTCTGCTATGTATAAGTATATTTTTGAAGAGCGAAAATCTTTTGCACAAAATCCCAAGCCATGGCATATAAATCTTCTTCTGGAGATTTCTCATAATGTTTGGCAAGAGATCTCTTTAGCCGTTGAGACAAAATTTGGACTTTTGTATAAGGATGCGGAATATCTTGCGCTTAAGGATCTTCTTGATAATACGATCCCACTTGTGCTAGATATTTATGCTGTATTCTTTCGTTCTGGTGATTTCAATATGTATTTTGAGTCTTGTTTTCGTGTTTGGACAGTATTTCTAAAATTTCAGTACAAAAATTACACAAAAGCGCCACTAATGTTTTTTTCTGATACATTTTATTAGAAGCTAAATAACTATCCAATTTTAGATACGATTAAAAATGAGCTTTCAAAATTTTCAAATTTGACAGTTGAAATCTTCCATAGTTTTTTGCATAGAGGCATGCAGAAAAACACAGAAGCACAGCAAATAATTAAATATGGGCATTACATTAACCAACTATGAATGGATATTAATAGGTTTAGAGAAAATTTCACAAGAACATCTACCTGGGCAATGCAAGAGTATTTGGCACAAGATATAATAGCATTGATAAAGAAAAGCGCTTGTTTTCTTTTACAATATTTTTCTAATATTTATTTACATTTTTTTCATCAAAATTTACCAATTTCACTTCTTTTACAAATAAGTTCATTTTCCAAAAGAAAACGTGATGAAAATATCAAAGCTATTCCACTAATAGCAATGAAAATGCCAGAAGTATGACTATGCCATCTTCTCTTAGGTTTTAGTGCTTCGTGTAAACCAGATTTGTATCGCTACTGTAATGCGTCTAATTGTCCTTCTTTTTCTGTTAATATAGGCATTATAGAAGTTCTAGCCTGTAGTTATACGTATCATAAATTCTGTTATAACCACAATGGATCTAAATGCTTGTACTGTCTCTCATTCTTGCAAGATGGCGTCGATGAATATGTTCAGTCCTTACTGGAAAGGTTACGAAATCTAAACAATAAAAGAAAAAAAAATAAGGAAAAAAAAATAAGTGCTGAAGAATTAGAAAAGAGTACTTCTTGTGATGATGATGGTGAAGTTGAACTAGTAAATTATAAATCACTTTTATTAGAGAAGGCATTATAAAAATTTCAATGTCAATAATTTGTATTATATAAAATTTTGAATCTTTATTGTAATTTTATTAACTTTACAAAATAAATAAATAAATTACAAAATAAATAAATTACAAAAATAAATAAATAAATAAATATAAAAAGTAAAAAAAAAAAAATTCAATATACAGTAAACCTCCATAAGTGTATCCTTTATAAATGCACCTTCCTCTAAATGCACACTCAAATTCTGACCCAAATATATACATGTCCCTATAAATGCACTTTCTTTTATTAATCTATAGTGCACGTTGTTAAAGCATGGTCCCAAGAGTGTGCACTTATAGAGGTTTGACTGTATTAATTTCACATTTTGGTTCAAGTGTAAGAATGCGACGAGATTTAAAAATCCAATGAAGTAATCTCTGTAATATGTAAAAAGAAAGTAAAATCTGTTATTAGCTTAATAGTAGCATAATTAAAAGGTAAATACAAAGCTCTTTACTGAAACTTATATTAGAGCCTCTTGTCTGCCTTTTAGTGGACCGTTTTTTTGGAATTCAACCATATATAGCGCTTATATATAGTTATATATAATAACTATTATATAATATATAGGAAAATTCACTTCTAAGTGAAGTTCTTGTAATTACTGATTATTTTTGATTATTTTTGCATAGTGAATATAAACGTTCTTATGAAGCGAAAAATGGCTTTTGTAGTGATTTTTTATTAGTGCTGTAGTTAAACGTTGCATTTCCAAAAAGTACTTTAAAGTGTATAAATAAGTTCCTGGTCAATTGATTTACATCAGCCAATCAGACGAATGTCCTCCTATGACCAACAAGCCCAGAGTTTATCACTCACCAAAAAGAAGTATAGGAGCCCCACCCCTTTTCTAGAAGAAGGTTTAGGTGTTGTTGAGTCTTTACATGAATGTAACTACTTTCCTTGGGTGCAAGTGGTCTCTCTCTAGGTGTTTTTTGCTTAGCTAGTCTTCTTCAAAATTTTTGACAAAAAGTGGATGATTTGGCTTACCCCCTTCAAAAGATCGGCATTGTTTACTTCCCAAATTCAAACATATTCAGGAATGCAACCACATGCCTTGTTTATTAGTGGATATGATACGCGATATAATCTATAGAGACAGGACCTCCACGTAACTGGAATTGGGTCTTTAGCATAAAAGGCATCTAGAGGTGGCCGGTAGTTATATAAAAATTTGTTAGATTTTATAGTCAAGATATACAAATGTTGCAGTTGTTATAAATTTTTTTCTTAAACCTGGCACGGGTTATAATAGTATACTTTTCTTTTTTTCTTTGTTTTATTTATACTATTTCTTAATAGAGATAGTTCTTCTTTTGTTGGCCCTCAGGCTTTTCTCTTTGTTTTTTGTTTTTTTATATTTCATTATATTCTCTTTTATTTTTCCTTTAAAAATTTCTCTTCATTATATTTGTTTTTTTTTTAGTTAGTTTTTCGTTTTGTTTTCTTGGTACTGTTAGTGGTTTTGTATTAGATATAAGATCATCACTTTCTTTTGCTCTTGGTGAAGAAAGAGAATATGAAGGAAAAAGCTTTGACGGGCTAACAAAGTTTATCTAACTTGTATATAGGTTGGTGCAACAAGTTGCATGTAGGTATGTTTATCACAGCCAGGTGATGTTAGGCTCGCAATCGCGAGACTCCCTGTTATGGTTATGAATGATAATATATTGTTCAAGAGAGTTCAACTCTCACCTAAATATAGTCTTAAATAAATTGAGCACTGGCAAGACTGTCAAAGAATTAAAAAAAAATAATGCAAATATCATATGACAAGGCTTTAATCAATAACTAATATCATTTCATATCTCTAATCTAAAAAACCAAATTGCCTCTGAATTGCCTTTGATATCATGATTGTCATATATGTGTGTTACCCCATTACTATTGCTACACTGGCATATTTGTATATCATATGCATGTATTACTAAACAAAGAATTTAAGAATTTTTCTCATTTACCATTATCATTGCTATACTGACGCTCAAATAGTACAACCAAAAAAAAAAGAAAACACCCACTTGTACATAAATAAAAAAAACAGTTGCTCTCTAAAATTCTAAAATGAACCTAACAATATAAACTTTTAATAAACTAAGAATTGAAGTAAACCAATTGATACTGTTAAATACATAAAGCAAAAATTTAAAATAAGGAGTTTCTTAAACTAGCAATGTCTTATACTCTGCCAACAAGTCTGATTAAAGTATTTAGCTTTTTTATTTTAATATAAACTGAATGTTAAAATTGGTGTAAAGTAAAGTTTAAGACAGGCAAAAAATAAAAAAAAACTTAAATTTCTCAACCTATTTACTTCAGAAGCCAGAGTGGCTTTATAGAAAATTTTAAACTAATAACTATTAGTATTTGCAAATGAAAAAACCAAGCCTATCAAATAGTAATAGCATAATAAAGTTATAAGAATTTTAAATCAAGATTTGTTG